ACAATCAGCTGAACCTGAGCTCCCTGTGGGATGCTGTGGCCAAAAGGGCTCAGGCCATCCTGGGATGTGTAAAATGGGACTATCAAGTAGGAGTAAGGAGGTGGCTTTACCTCTGTATTTGGCACTGGTGTGACCACTGCTGGAATAGCGACCAGTTCTGGTGTCCACAGAGGATGTGGATAGATTGGAGAGGGTTCAGAGAAGAACCACGAGAACGACTAAAGCAGTGGTTCTCAAACTTTTTTTTTCCCCCACAGACCACTTGAAAATTGCTGAGGGTCTTGGCCGACCACTTAATAATCTTTCCAAATGTTGTTTGTACTGTTAGCTAACTATTGTAAAGCACTATATAAAAAACCTTTATAATATTTAATTGTTTTTTGTTCTACAAATAAAAGCACACAACTCATATTTAATATCAATAGTCTTACCTTTCTAATGCGATGGATGTGTTCTCTCTCCTCTGCTGTGGCAGCCCCCGAGCTGGGGCTGGGAAGGAGGGGGGGTCTCTCCCTCTCTCCCCCACCGCGGCTGTCCCTGAGCTAGGGCTGGGAAGGAGGGGTGTGTGACATTCCCCTCTGGTGTTATCTGGACCGATGATCTGCTAGGTCACTCCAATCCTTGACTCTGGGAGCCAGCCTTACCCTGCTCTGCTGTGAGAACCCCCACTCCTGGGCTGTTCACGCACGGCCTCTGGCGTGTAAACTGCTCCTTGGATTGTGCAACCGAATGACACTAGCCAATATCTCCGGTCCCACACACAATCCTAGGAACCTCCATCTTGCAGTGTCCAGTTATGGCCGCTGGATGCTGCAAGTTATATGAGTTTGTCAATTTAAGAAAGAAATTGATATGTACCAGGCTTGTTATCCCAAGAGGAGTCTCTGACACGCTTCAAACCGAATGCACTGCTTCAGGTAGAATAAACAAACAGATTTAGGAACTACAAAGATTGATTATAAGTGATAGGCAAAAAGTCAGTGTGGTTACCAAGGGAAAAGAAAATATAAGCACGCAGCCTAAACTCTCAACCCTATTAGACTGGGCAACATCTAGATGAAGCAGTTTTTCCTCACCCCACTGGATATTGCAGTCGTTAATATACAGACTTGTTCCTAAACCTGGGCCAATCTCCTCTGTTGGAGTCTTGTCTTCCTATCAGTGTCTTAGTTGCTTGCAGTGAAGGTGTGGGTAGGAGAAGGGCCCAGTTATGTATCCACACTGTCTGTTTTATACCCTCAGTCCATGTGCTTGGGGAGCACAAGTCCAGGCATGCCTGGGGGCATTGCTGAGTCTCTCCAAGCAAGTATCAAGGGGTAGCCGTGTTAGTCTGTATCTACAAAAACAACAAGGAGTCTGGTGGCACCTTAAAGACTAACAGATTTATTTGGGCATAAGCTTTCGTGGGTAAAAACCTCACTTCTTCAGATGCACAAAAGCTTATGCCCAAATAAATCTGTTAGTCTTTAAGGTGCCACCAGCTTCCTTGTTGTTTCTTCAAGCAAGGTTGAGCAATTCCCCTGCTGTGGCCTCATGCAGGGGAGTCATTGCATTGTAGCTCCTTTGCTGGACAATGGCTGTTGATGGTTGTTTGACGCCCCACCCAGGCGTTGGTTACTTTCCTTGCTGTTGCCTCTGGGGAACTAATATGGCTGATTCCCCAACGTACAGCATGTTTTAGTGACAACCATACAACACAATTCTCATAACTTCACATGCATTACTGATACACATGTATGGATAGAGAAATGACTTTCAGCAGATCATAACCTTTCCCCTGATACCTTACAGGCATGCTTTATATGTGAGATCACGATTATATGAAAATGAGGAATATGGGGGTTACAGTACGCTCCCCCAAGGTATAGAATGTCACAGGGTCTCTCCCCCGCCACGGCAGCCCCCAAGCTGAGGCTGGGAAGGAAGGCTGTCTCTCCCCAGCAGCCACAGCCCTGGAGTTGGGTAAAGTCACCTCTTTCTCTGGCCACCGCAGCCCTGCACATCCCAAATTCCCCCCACCCCCTCTTCTCACCCCACTGCCCTCTCCCACCTGTCCCCTATTCCCCCCAAGGCCACCACCTCACCTTACATGTGTGTCTTCTCCAGGGTCCAGGCACCTAATTAGTGGAGCCATGCCTATGGGGAACAAATATTTGATAATGTCTCTTCATTCTAACAAAGATATAACATGCTGCAATGGCTGGAGGTTGAAGCTAGACAGATTCAGATTGGAAATGAGGCACACATTTAACGGTGAGGACAATTTACCCAGGGTCGTGGTGGATTCTCATCACTGTCAGTTTTAAATCAAGATAGGATGTTTTTCTGAAAGCTCTTCTCTAGTTCAAACCGGAATTAATTCAGGGAAGTTCTCTGGCCTGTGTTATACGGGAGGTCAGACTAGATGATAACCGTGGTCTCCTCTGGTTTTAGACTCTATGAATATAAGTAGCCCTCATCCACTAATTTGGGTGCAGATATGTAGAGCTCTGCACATGCATTGGTGGCCCACTGGTCTGTGTGTGTTACGCCTCTGTCTGATTCCCAAGCTGCCCAGCCTGGCCGTGGGGCAGAATTCCCCCAGGAGTAACAGCTCGCAGTTCTAAGTACCACGTTCTAGTTTGCCATCATAGAAAGGACTTTTAGATTTCTGCAATACTGACAGTGGTCAGTTTTCTGGTTCTTTGGCCATATTCACAGTCTGTCTCTCAGTTATTTGGAACAGCAGTTTGGCAATATTCCTATGGAAGTTAAGTTCAACTTCTGTTTGCCTCGAAAGGGTTCCACCGGTACTAGAGCCTGGAATGACAGAACAGAGGAGTTTGGTCCAAGTGGTTAATTATCTAGAAAATCATTGTTCTCTCCGCACAGAACTCCTGGTCTCCCTTCAGAGCCCAGAGCTTGCCTAGGGGTTTGTTGAGAGGAACAAATACTGATTCCCCCACTCTCTCTATTGAAGCAGGATAGTTCTCTCTCGCCATTCAGTTTGGAGACAACGATCATTTGAGAACAATGGATTTCTCGGGGTCTTTGTTTCTTCAGGAAAGTAACCTCCTTCTCCAGGCCGGGGTTTCGGGTAGGAATGCAGGAATAGGCCCACATTTCTCCAAGGATTTTGTCCAGGAAGGACGTGGTTAAAGAGAATTCCCAAGTGTTAGACGCAGGCTAAGGTGATTCACTTTGATAGAAGTGAGCACATCCCATGTCGTCAGAACTCAAGGCAGTTTCTTCATGGCAGGAGCATTGATCTTTGGTACCCTGGTTGCTATGGTTACTGCTTTGCTTTGGCTGTGTAGATCCAATCTTTACATGTGTGTTGTTTCCCATTGAAGTGCAGAGGGAGAGGTGGATCCTACCCAAAACAGGTCAGGTGCGAATGTTGTCACCTTTCTGTTGGATACTTGCACATTCTGAGGGAGCAACCGGGCTGGTGATGCATCTTTCTGAGGACAGGTCTGGGGAGGAGAACTATTTGTATGTGTCCAGGAGAGGGCAATGTAAACTCACGAAAGCCTGTCTTTAAGCCTTTTCTTAACTTCCTGACTTGTAAACAGAATCTATTTAAAGTCTTCATAGGTCTGTTCTGATAATTAAATTAGGCTTGAACAAAGACTGGGAGTGGATGGGTCATTACACAAAGTAAAACTATTTCCCCATGCTAATTTTTCCCCCTACTGTTACTCACATCTTCTTGTCAACTGTTGGAAATGGACCATCCTTATTATCACTACAAACTTTTTTTTCTCCTGCTGATAATAGCTCATCTTAATTGATTTGTCTCATTATAGTTGGTATGGCAACGCCCATTTTTTCCTGTTCTCTGTATATACATATATCTTCCTACTGTATTTTTCATTGCATGCATTCAGCGAAGTGGGTTTTAGCCCATGAAAGCTTATGCCCAAATAAATTTGTTATTCTCTAAAGGTGCCACAAGGACTCCTCAGTCTTTTGGCTGATACAGACTAACATGGCTACCACTCTGAAATCTGAGGGAAACATGTTACAGTAAGACACTTGGTGGGTGGCTTGTGGTTCTGTAAGATAAGAGACATGAAATGGAGGCATTCCCTTTCACTCTCTTCTGGGAATGGTCTCGGATAGGGAGATTTCCGTATGCTGTATCTATTGGCTGATGTTCCTTTTCTAGTCCAAGTTGCAAGGCCTGCAAGGGGTATGGTTTTATTTAGACTTTAGAGCAGGGGTGGGCAAACTTTTTGGACTGAGGGCCACATCGGGGAATAGAAATTGTATGGCGGGCCATGGATGCTCACAAAATTGGGGTTGGAGTGTGGGAGGGGGTGAGGGCTCTGGGATGTGGCTGGAGATGAGAGGTTTGGGGTGCAGGAGGGTACTCTGTGCTGGGATCGAGGGATTTGGAGAATGGGAGGGGGATCAGGGCTGGGACAGGGGGTTGGGGCTTGGGAAGAGGCTCAGGGGTGCAGGCTCCAAGCGGCGCTTACCTCAGCAGCTCCCAGAAGCAGTTGCATGTCCCTTCTCTGGCTCCTATGCATGGAGTGGCCCCCAACCCTCAGAACGGGGCCATGCAGCTGCTTCCGGGAGCCGCGTGGTGCGGACCTCGACCCGGCACCCCGGCCGGAGCGCCAGAGCGGGGCAAGCCCCAGACTCTGCTCCCCAGCGGGAGCTCGCGGGCCGGCTTAAAACGGCTCGGCCCACGGGCCGTAGTTTGCCCACCCCTGCTTCAGAGGCATGCTCTGGCTTGTGTTAAGGAAGAGCTGTTGCCTGTGTCTTCTTAACCATTGGGCAGCAGGTATTTGTGGCTTCCTGGGCTGCAGCTTAGCACCTATCAGGACATCCAGCTTGCTGGCATGTCACAGCATTCGTTCAACACGTCTGGGATCGCACATGAGAGCTGCAAAATTCAACAGGTGTTTTGCTTTGTGGTTCACATCTCTCTAAATTACGTCAAATTATAACTATTTCCCATTCTTGCTAAAAGAAACAAAATCCTTTGAAATGTAAAATTTAGAATTCATAATCTGAGGCGAGAAAAGGGAGAGGTAAATCTGAGTGACTTTCTTCCTCTCCTGTCCCCTGTGGAGACTAGAAGATACGTCTTTCTTTTACAACCAGGGCAATGTTCAGAAAAAACTTTGAAGACTGAAGCCAGTGACTCGATTCTAAATCTGCTCCCCAGAAACGTAAGTGTAACCCAGTTATTTCTTGCAGGTCAGACAGAGGGGAGAGCGTCTGGGAGTGGAACAATGGCCGGGTCAGCTGACACCATTGAGATGCCGGCTCTGGGCCGCCCGTTCCACCTGGGGATGCTGTACGACTGCCGCAGCGACTCCCTCATCCCAGGTAACTGTCACCCCGGGGGGGCCTGGGGCCCAACTTAGTGTTTCAGGAAAAAGAAGCATTTGGCACCTGTTTATTTTAGCAAAAAGAACGAGGAGTCCTTGTGGCACCTTAGAGACTAACAAATTTATTTGGCATAAGCTTATGATACAGACTAATATGGCTACCCCTCGGAAACCTGATTATTTGAGGAACATTTGGGTTGGGGAAAAATAAAGGGCATCCAAACCTGCCCGGGTACTGCTGACCCTCCTTACAGCCCGGGCTGCACTAGGAGAAACGAGAAAATCCCCATCTGCTCCCCTGCCACTGCAGTATCTGTGCAGCACCCCCCCCCCCGCACCGCAGTCGGCCTAGGAAAGGGGGACAGTGCCCCCGAGCTGGTTCATCCCCCCATTTCCACATGGGAGGGGTGAGGTCCCGGTGAGAAGGGACCTCTCTACACAGATCTTCAGGGCATGATGGGACCCATTAGAAGGGTATTCTTCGGGGCATGATGGGACCCAAACTTCAGGTATTCACACCTCCCTTGGAAGCCTGGTCCAGAGCTTAACCACCCTTATAGTTAGAACATTTTCTATTATCTAACTTAAATCTCCCTTGCTGCAGATTAAGTCGATTACTTTGTCCTCCCTTCAGCAGACATGGAGAACAATTGATCACTGTCCTCTTTATAACAGCCCTTAACATATCTGAAGACTTATCAGGTCCCCTCTCAGTCTCCTTTTCTTAAGACTAAACATACCTGTTTTTTAACCTACCGTCAGAGGTCATGTTTTCTAAACCATTTATCATTTTTGTTGCTCTCCTCTGGACTCTCCAATTTGTCCACATCTTTACTGACGTGACACCCAAAACTGGACACAGTGCTCCAGCAGAAGCCTCACCAGTGCCGAGACGAGTGGGACGACTACATCCCGTGTCTGACATATGACATTCCTGTTAACACCCCCCAGAATGACATTAGCCTTTTGCGTAACTGCATCCCATTGTGGGCTCCTATTCACTTTGTGAACCACTATCACCCCAGTTCCTTTTTCACAGTACTACTGTCTAGCCAGTTATTCCCCATCATGTGTTTGTGCATTTGATTTTTCCTTCCTAAGTGTAGTACTTTGCATTTGTCTTTATTGAATTTCATCTTTATAAACTGGAGAATTGATCTGAAATCAACAAGGTCAGTTTGAGTTTTAATCTTGTCCTCCAAAGTGCTGGCAGCCCCTCCTAGCTTGGTGTCATCTGGTAATTGTATAAGTGTGCTCTCCACCCCATCATCCAAGTCATGGATGAAAATATTGATTAGCACCAGACTTGGGTCAGACCCCTGCAGGACCCCACTACATACATCCTCCCAGTTTGACAGCAAACCATTGATAACTATCTCTGAGTACAGCCTTTCATCGAGTTATGCATCTACCTTATAGCAATTTCATCTATACCACATTTCCCTAGTTTCTTATGGGAATGTCACGTGGGACTGTGTCAAAAGACTTACTAAAATCAAGATCTATCATGTCTCCTGCTTCTCCCCCTAAACACTAGGCCAGCAACCCTGTCAAAGAAAGCAATTAGGTTGGTTTGGCATGATTGGTTCCTGACAAATCCATGTTGGCTATTCCTTATTACCCTGTTATCGTCTAGGTGCTCACAAACTGATTGTTTAATAGCTTGTTCCAGTATCTTTCCAGGTGTTGAAGTTAGGCTGACTGTTCTATAATTCCCCGGGTCCTCTTTCTTCCCCCTTTCAAAGACAGGTGCCATCTTCTCTTCTCCTGTCCTCTGGGACGGCTCCCATCCGCCGTGAGTTCTCAAAGATAATCACTGACAGATCCAAGATCTGCTTCAGCTAGTTCCTTAAGGTGAATTTAGTCAAGCCCTGCTGACTTGAATACCCCTAATTCTCTCAATATTCTTTAAGCTGTTCATTTGCTATTCTGTCTTGTGTTCCTTCCCCCTTATTATTAATACTGATCGTATTAAGCATCTGGTCACAATTTACCTTTTTAGTGAAGATTGAAGCAAAATAGGTATTAAACACCTCTGTGTTCTCGATGTCATTAGCTTTCCTTCCCCACTAAATAGTGGGCCTACTTTTCATTGTCTTTCTCTTGCTCCTAATATATTTTTAAAAAACCCTCTTTTTACTGCCTTTTATGTCCCTTGCTAGGTGTAACTCATTTTATGCCTTAGCCTTTCTGATTTAGTCCCTGTCTGCTTGTACCGTTCTTTTGTACTCCTCCTTAGCAATTCATCCACGTTCCCACTTTTTGTAGGGTTTCTTTTTGATTTTCAGGTCACTGAAGAGCTCCTCATGAAGCCATATTGTCCTGCTATATTTCTTATATTACCTTCACATCAGGAGAGTTTGCAATTGTAGCTTTAATATTGTCTCTGAGAAACTGCCAGCTCTCCTGAACTCCTTTTTCCTTAGATTTTCTTCCCAGGGGACCTTACTTCCCAGTTCTGAGTTTGATGAAGTCTTCTTTTTTTTTTTTGAAGTCCATTGTCTTATTCTCCTCCTCTCACTCTTTCCTTTTCTTAAAATAATAAAGTCTATCATTTTATGAACACTTTCACCCAAATTGCCTTTTACCTTCAGATTTGCAACTAATTCCTCCCTTTTAGTCAGAATCAAGTTGTGACGAAGTGGGACTGTTCTTAATGTTTCCTCTGAATACTGTGTGGGTGCCTCAGTTTCCCCTATGCATTTCTTAAGTCTCTAGGTGGTGGGGAAAGGCCAGCGTGCATAAATCACTGACACTGTCTCCCTGGCAACAAATGGCCAGGGCCCCTTCCCCCCCCAAGGAAATAGCTAAAGGTGAACAAAGATCAGGTGACCTCCTGACCCAGGAAAGAGACAAAGCCGGGAGAAGGGGGGGCTGGAGGAGGTTTCAGTGTTGGAGCTACCTGGGGACTAGGAGTGAGGGCAGACGTGGGTGTCTGGCTCTCTGAACCCCATAATGGACCCGGCCGAGGGGTCCCGTTCGCCTCTGTACCTACAAGCTCTGTTTTAGACCGTGTTCCTGTCATCGAATAAACCTCTGTTTTACTGGCTGGCTGAGAGTCACGTCTGACTGCGAAGTGGGGGTGCAGGACCCTCTGGCTTCCCCAGGACCCCACCGGGGCGGACTCGCTGTGGGAAGCGCACGGAAGGGCATATGCTGAATGCTCCCAGGAGAGACCCAGGAGGTGAAGCCGTGTGAGCTTCTTGCCCTGAAGACAGTCTGCTCCATGGGAGAGGAGACTCCCCAGAGTCCTGACTGGCTTTGTGGGGAGCAGTTCCAGAGCATCGCCCTGGGACTCCGTGACACAAGTCTAAAATGGCTCCACCTTCTGAAACAAGACACTTTGTGTTGTGTTACTTTTACAACAGATGTCTTATTAGTTACTACCAGGTCTTGTGGTATGGATATTTCTGTTATTTGCTCTAGAAATGCCTCATGCATCTCTTCCTCCTGATGTGATGGTCTATAGAAGACCCCTACCATAACATCACCCCTGTTTTCCCCTGCCCCCTTTTATCTTTACCCACAGAATGTCAACTGGGTCAGCCTCTCGCCTCCATCTGGACCACAGCATATGTGTAAATACTCTTGATGTATAGTGCAACCCCCCCTTCCTTTTTTGCTGCCTTTCTGTCCTGAACACACTACGCACCAATATTCTAGTCATGAGATTTATCCAACCAAATCGCAGTGATGCCAATTAAACATAAATTAGCTTATGTACTAAGACTTCCAGTTCTTCCTGTCTGTTCCCCATACACCTGGCATTTGTGTATAGACAAGTAAGATATGGAGCAGATTCCACCTCTGGACTTCAAAAAAACAACAACAACAAAAAACAAAAACAAACAGGCTTCATCAAACTCAGAGAACTGGTAAGTAAGGTCCCCTGGGAAGAAAATCTAAGGAAAAAGGAGTTCAGGAGAGCTGGCAGTTTGTTGTTGCTCCTATGACCCAACTCTAAATTTTCCATTCCCCCTCCCCCTCACCCCAGCAACATCTAGTCCACTGTGAAGGTCACTTTTTTATACTTACCTGTGGTCTTTTGTCACGTGCTCGAAGATGCTCCACCCCTTCTGCTGGGAAGAGATGGGGTACACCCGACTAAGATTTCCTTCCTGAAGCAGCATCCCATGACTTAGGAAGCCAAAGTCCGCCCTTTGACACCACCCGCACAGCCGTGCATCATCTCCAGGATGCGCGCGTCCCTGTCTGGGCCCTTAACCTCAACCAGGAGGAAGGACAAGAACACAACATGGGACCGTGACTCCTTCACCCTCACTCCCAGAGCCCAGGAGTCGCTGTGCAGGGTCAGACTGGCAGTATCGTCAGTGCCCACGTAGATGCGCAGTGTGCGGCAGTGGCCAGATGGATGGACGAGCCTTGGCAACCTTTCCATAACACCTGGGATGTGGCTCCAGGCAGGCAGCACAACTCCTGGGACGTCAGGTCAGGTCAGCAAATGGAGGCTCCCATCCCTCTCAGCAGGGAGCCCAGACCACTGCCACCTACGTCCCCTCCTGGTGGGTGTGGGGGCCGTGAGCCTCCCAGCCTTGGGAGCAGGTGGCTCCTCTCCCTCAGCCATTGGGGTCTGCTCCTCTCCTCCTGTGGCCAGTACAGCACGTGCCAGTTCTTGACCTCGACGGATGGAGGACAGGGGTGGGGTGGAGCACAGCCTACTGTCTAAGGTGGCCAGCAGCCAGTCTCCTTTCTGCAGAGCAGCCGGGTCTCCTCCCTCTTCTGGTGCCTCTGTAGTCATCCCGACTCAGCTAGAGTCCTCCATCCCGGCTGTCTCCAAGTGCATCCTGGTGATGAAGTCCTCACGCTCCTGGATGCTACACAGATGAGCCACCTCCTCCCGCAGCTCTCTTACCTGCTCCCTGAGGGACTCCCCAGACAGACGCCTCTCACACCAGCTGGTTCCCCGGCCTGGCTGTTTTCAGCAGGGACATGCAGGCTGCATTCCCAGCAAGTGAAGATGAGGATCTGGGTAGAAGCCTCCAGTCAGGATGGCTGTCTGGCCAGGGCCCCCACAGGTGCCGGCAGATTAAGAGCTAGCAGAGGTGTTGGCAATGCACCATTGCAGGTTCTTCCTTGTGCAGTGCCTTCAAGTTAAAGAAAAACCCGACCTCCCTGCCTTCCTTCTCTGGCAAACTCAGCCGGCTACTCCCTTAGTCTCCCATCTGCCTTCGTCTCACCAGCCATGTGTCCGGAGGCCAGGATTAGACATTTAGAGGGACTGGAATTTTATATGGGTATCAAGAATACGAGGATTATAACAATGAAAAGAAAGTGGAGGAAGGGATATAAAACCTCATGCTTAAGATTTAAGCCAATCTCTAACCATTAGAGATCAATGAGACCTGCACGAGGGCAGATTTTCCAACAATACAGTAGGTTTCTTACACCTTCCTGTGAAGGATCTGGTGCTGGCTTCTGTCAGAGACAGAATACTGGGCTAGATGGATCATGTGTAGTAGTAGGATTTTATATTTGTATTTGGTATAATTTAGAATAAAAAATAAAGAATAATAATGTAGCATGTTCGCCCTACTCCCTTCCTATTATAATGGCCTAAATAAAAACACATCAACACTCCAATGGCCAAGCAAAACAAAATGTAGTAAACACAATATCGAAAAAAGTTAAATTTAAAGCAAAAATTATAAATACTATAAACCTAGAAGTAATTAAAATAAGTTAAGGTCCTTGTCACAACTACAAAATAGTCTCATTACAAGCAGGCAAATAATACTGTAAACTTAGTACAAATAAATCTAAAAAAAAATCTAAAAGCAACATAAAATATGTGGCGGTGGCTAAACACCACCTCTTAGCTGCTACATAAACAAATAAAGTTAAAAAATGTACCATAAAATGACCATAAAATGTACTAAAATGCAAATTCTTAGTTTAGCATCACTTGAACATGAAATGTTTTGGGTAATATCTGGAAATGTTTGGGTATTAACACATCTTTTAAAACAACAGAAAAGGTCCTTGTTTAACACCTACAAATATGAATGGATGCAGTATGTTTCCAGCATGGTTAAGCCTAATCTGTTATTAGGTAAAATTATTGTTAAAATTGCGCACCAACAGTCTGTGAAAACAAAAATATAAGAAGTAAGCCCACTCCTAAAATTAACCAGGGGATCCTTTTGGCTACCCTGGGTGATGGGTCAGTGGGCTAAAAATAAAATAAAATTATTAAACACCCACAGTGTACGGAATAAAGCCTTCAAAAATGGGTGTGCTTGTCTCTACCTGTCACCACAAAACCATGCAGCAAAAATACATAATTAAAAACATGTGTGTGAAACAATCTAAAAAATGTGACGTGTTTTGTATGACAAACAATGTGTATGTTACATCCTGGGAAACAGTATTTTGGAAGAATGCAAGTATTAGCCAACCCCCCGTAAATAAATTTAATGCCCATGTATTATATACTAGCAATCACATGTACTATTTACCAAAAATAAAAGAGCACAGAGCACTATAACCGCCACCCCAGTTAATTTCTCTGATACCCTTGGCCTAAATTGGCACAATCTAACTAATCACTTGTCGTCAAAAATAAAGGTGACTCCGTTTTTACAATAAACACAAAGACATATAAATGGCATGTCATTCAAATATTACATGCAAATAAAAATTGCTAAATCTAAAAAAACCTAACAGCCTGTCACTGGTACGACATTTTTACAGGCTGGTCCCCAACTTCTAAAAGCATATTGTCTATTATGTTTCACGCATTACTAGTTGTGCTAATATTGTCCTGTGTTTGTGTCACGGTGCGGGACTCACCGCTGCAGTGCCTCCTGCTGGTCTCTCAGGGAATTAGCTCATCCAGCTTCCAGAGCACCCTCTGCAGGCCGGTGTCCCGCTGCCACTGGCCCCCGTGTCCCTCCCAGGACCTAGTGCCACTCATCTTTCTGGTGCTACCCCCTGGCAATACCCCCACAGTCTCAGGGTCTCCCCACCCAGGGGAACCCCCAACCCTCTATCCCCACCTTGCCTCAGTCGTGGGCTACTGCCAGTCACCCTCTAGCCCCCGCTCACTGGGGTGGACTGCAGTGTAAAAGCTACTCATCATAGGCAAGGGGGGGTTGGACCTGCTGCCTCTGCCTACCCCTTTGGGCTGCCCCCTGCTACCCCAGTACCTAATTGGCCTTCCACTAGGCCGCAGCCTGGGGGGTTTCCAGGCCAGAGCTCCCTTGGCCTTGGCCTTCCCCCCGCCCCGCCCCGCCCCGCCAGGTACCTTCTCTCAGCCCCCTGCAACCAGGTCTCTCCCTCTCAAAGTTAGAGAGAGTCTCTGTCAGCTCCTGGCTCGCAGCCCTTTTATAGGGCCAGCTGTGGCCTGATTGGGGCATGGCCCAGCTGTGGCTGCTTCCCCATTCAGCCTAGTAGCTGCTTTCTTACAGCCACAGCCCTACCCAGGGCTGCTTTTAACTCCTTCAGGGCAGGAGCAGGGTAACCACCCCGCTACAGTTTGCTTGCTAGAAATGTGTTGTATGTGCTGTTAAACAAAAAAATGTTTATTAAATTACAACCACAAACTCAAATTGCCTCTCAATATATTGCTATAAAACAATTGTATAAAATATGACCCACTCAAAAATTGTTCTTGAGGGGTCAAAAGGGGGACATGTGGTAGTAGGATTTTATGTTTGTATTTTGTATAATTTAGAATAAAAAATAAAGAATAATAATGTCGCATGTATTAAATGTATTGGTGTGTGATTTGATCATATCCTGCCAGCCACCCTTTTTGAATAGCAGGAAGGAATGGCCTAATGGGCCATTTGGTAAAGATTCATCAGCTGAAATCTGTGTCTGGGCTGATTTCAAGGCAGTAACAGACGTTTTAAGGTCACCACTTTGTTGTAGGTTTAGCATTTTAAAATAAGTAAAAGAATGCCAGGATTGTGTTCTTGTGCATTGCAATTTGATGTTCCTGTTCAAAATGTTCTGTGTAAAGCAATTCTGGTTTGTGTGTGAATGAGGAATGTGTGTGTAAAGAGATAAGTGTGAAGGCCATCGCTGAGCCAGATGTATGAGGGAGAAACTGGAGACAAACGCAAGGGCTCCAGGAGGCTGCAATTTCCTATTGAAATGTCAAAGGAGGGCAAATTGATGACTCTAAAGATGAGACAGGCACCTATCAATGGGGACAAGATAGCGGTGATAAAGAATCAGAAGCACAATTTAAAAAAACAAGCACTCGTCAAACAACAATTGATTACAACATGAAAGGAAAATCACTATATAAACAGGGTGCTTTGCCATAAAACTTTGGGTTCATCCTGCCAAGACTTCCACCGAGCATCGTGTCGCGACCAATGGAACCCGGCTCCTCCCTACCCGTGATCAACCTGGCTGGCCACTAGATTGATCCAGACTCTGGACTGGTAACTATAACATCGACTGGCGGGACAGTGTGTGTGTGTGTGGTGTGATTGAATGCATATGCTAATTGTTGTATCTTCAATAAATGCGGTGTATTGCCTTTTCCCCTAAAAAAATCCTGTGTGCTTCTTATAAGCATAACACATGGATCAGGTCAAACGTGGCAATTCCTAGCTTCTTAAATCAAATAAACCAGATGTTTCTAATGAAGTGACATTTCAATCATAACTAGAGCACTTGCTACCTGGAACAGTGTACTCCTGAAGGGGGAGTGAACTCAGTCACTCCGGAGAAGATCACGTCTTCCAAAGTCCTGTAATAAGCCGGGGGCAAGGGAAGGTTGTTAGGGGCGTAGTTCAGCCTTGACTTGGCATGTTTGTATGTTACCAGGTCAGTTTACTTGATGTCCTTCACTCGTTATTTTTCAATCTCAGAAATGAGACACAATTAAACCACGGATAGACTCTGTGTCCTGTGCATCTATCAGTTACGTTACCATGTGTTTGTCTCTACTATTCCAGGGATCACGCTGTGGGGCCGGGAACGGCTTCTCAAGGATGTAAACACAAAACCACAACCCTGGATGAACTGTGAGATCATCGCATCCGATACCATTGAAGACAAGGCCAATGCCCTCAATGTCACAGCATCGCTGAAGGCTAGTTTCCTGGGGGGGTTGGTTGAAGTAAGTGGATCTGCCAAATACTTAAATGACACCAAAAAATCCAAACAACAGGCCAGAGTTACTCTCCAGTACTCTGCCACAACAAAGTTTGAGCACCTAACTATGAGCCATTTAGGACCAGAGAATGTCTCTTATCCTGCTGTATTTGACCAAGGCACGGCCACCCATGTGGTCACGGCTATGCTGTATGGGGCTCAGGCTTTCTTTGTGTTTGATCGAGAAGTTTCTTCTTCTGAGAATGTACGTGAGATAGAGGGAAAGCTCCAGATTGTGATGAAAAAGATACCCCTGTTTTCCATAGAAGGGGAAGGAGCTGTCAAAATGGATGACAAGGAAAAATTAAATGCTGAAAATTTTAACTGCAAGTTCCATGGTGATTTTGCTCTTGAGAAAAATCCAACTAATTTCCAAGATGCCATGAAAATTTATTCCACTCTCCCGAAGCTGCTGGGTGCCAGCGGGGAGAAGGCCGTACCGGTGAGAGTCTGGCTGTACCCGCTGAAGCAGCTGGATTCCAGAGCTGCTCGGCTGGTGCGTGAGATCAGCTTAACACTGATCTTTGATGCTCAAAGAGCCTTGGAGCAACTGACTGAACTGGACATGCGATGCAATGACATGATGAAAAATCCAATTGCCATAACCTTCCCCGAAATCAAAAAGAAAATCCAGCAATTCAAAGACCTGTGTCAGCAACACAGACAGACTTTCCAGCAACAACTAGCAGGAATCTTACCTGCTATCCGTGGAGGTGGAGCAGAGGAAGGGGCCCTGGTGAACATTTTAAAAAGCAAAGAACAATCACCGTTCAATACACAGAGACTCAATGAATTTCTGGATACAAAGGAGCGAGAGATGAATTTAGTGGATTCCTACCTTACTAGGCTACAGAATGTGGAAGTCGTATCCTCCAAGACTGAACTAGAAAAAATAGTACTCAGCCCTGAGCATGATTTTATTGTGTCTTTCACACTTACTTCATTACACAACAAAGAACCATATTTATCAGATTTGAATTTTTGGCTTCAAGGACAGTTTCTGGAGAAAAATCAAGAATCAGCATCAACCAGTTCTCCCTATGAGAAATCAAACTCCAAACAGTGGTTTGAGGATGAAGAGATAAGAAGAAAAGCACGAAAATTCGCAAAGTCCTTCTTAGACTTTACCAATGTCAATAAATCTCAAGAAAAGACTCGGTTCATTGTGGCCTCTGTTCCAGTTGAGGAGCATCCAGGCACTGCCATTTACCTGTATGAGGATGGAGAGCTGGACAGCACCAACTTTGAGCCTCCATCAAAGCCTCTTCCAGCCCTGATTGGTGGAATCAGACATGACCGTGTGCAGCTCACGTTTAACCCAGCAGCCTATGGCAGGGCTGCGATATCCGGCTATCAGGCAGAGTACAGAACTGTAGGGCAGGAGAACTGGACGGCTGTGAATGTAAATAACACACAAGTGACATTCACAGTAACAGGGCTACGTGCAAACACCGAGTACCAGTTCCGATACGCTGCCGTGAGCAAACCAGGGCTCAGCGAGAGCAGCGACGTGAGTGATCCTGTGAAGACGCTCTCTCCAACCAGCCCGCCTGGGAAGCCTGTAACAGCTACTGTAGGCTCATCAGCCATTGCGCTCACCTGGGAGTGTCCAACTGTGGTTGGAGAAGGAGTCATTATAAGGGAGTATAAGGTGGAATATAAAGAGAAGACAGGAGATACGAGTCAGGAGGGGAAAGGTAAATGGCTGGAACGAAGGACAGGAGAGAGAACAGAGTCCTGTACCATTGATGGACTGAGGCCTGAGACGCCCTACAGATTCCGAGTGTCGGCTGTGTGTGCGGATGGAGCTGTGAGTGACCCAAGTGAGGAGAGTTCTATCTCAACGCTAAAGAAAGGTAAACATTTAAGTAAATCTGCGTATTATTCCCTCAACTACAGCCCTCTAGTGCCTGGAGCTACTGGATCAGGTAAGAGATTCCTTATCAAGGGTGTGAATCTAAATTATCCTGGGTGTATAATGCAGGCTCGGCTTCCATTCAAATAATGAATGGAAGTAGAAATAAATCCTAGCTTCCAGATAAATACCCGAGCTGGTTCCTATGTGTGGACTGGGTGGCTGAAATGATCCCACTGTAATCCCCAGGTCCTTTTCTGCAGAACTGCTGCTTAGCCAGTCGGTCCCCAGCCTGTAGCAGTGAATGGGATTCTTCCATCCTAAGTGCAGGACTCTGCACTTGCCTTTTTTTAATTATTAATTATTATTAATAATTTGTTATTTGCCCTTTGTTGAACCTCATCAGATTTCTTTTGGCCCAATCCTCTAATTTGTCTAGGTCACTCTGGATTCTGTCCCTACCCTCCAGCGTATCTACCTCTCCCCCCAGCTTAGTGTCATCTGCAAACTTGCTGAGGGTGCAATTAATCCTATCATCCAGATCATTAATAAAGATGTTGAACAAAACCGGCCCCAGGACCGACCCTTGGGGCACTCCGCTTGATACCGGCTGCCAACTAGACAGGGAGCCATTGATCACTACCCGTTGAGCCCGATGATCTAGCCAGCTTTCTATCCACCTTACAGTCCATTCATCCAGCCCATACTTTTTTAACTTGCTGGCAAGAATACTGTGGGAGACCGTATCAAAAGGTTTGCTAAAGTCAAGATATATCACATCCACCACTTTCCCCATATCCACAGAGCCAGTTATCTCATCATAGAAGGCAATCAGGTTGGTCAGGCATGACTTGCCCTTTTTTTAAAGATGGCCACTATATTTGCCTTTTTCCTATTGTCTGGGACCTTCCCCGATGGCCACGAGTTTTCAAAGATAATGGCCAATGGCTCTGCAATTATTTCAGACAACTCCCTCAGCACCCTAGGATGCATTAGATCTGGACCCATGGACTTGTGCATGTCCAGCTTTTCTAAGTAGTCCGTAACCTGTTCTTTCACCACTGACGGCTGCTCACCTCCTCCCCATACTATGTTGCTCGGTGCAGCAGTCTGGGAGCTGACCTTGTCTTGAAGACCGCGGCAAAAAAAGCATTGAGCACTTCAGCTTTTTCCACATCATGTTATTCTCATTCAGTAAGGGTCCCAAACTTTCCCTGACCACCTTCTTGTTGCTAACATATCTGTAGAAACCCTTCTTGTTACCCTTCACAGCCCTTGCCAGCTGCAACTCCAATTGTGTTTTGGCCTTCCTGATTACACTCCTGCATGCTTGAGCAATATTTTTATACTCCGCCATAGTCATCTGTCCAAGTTTCCACTTCTTGTAAGCTTCTTTTTTGAGTTTAAGCTCACCGAAGGTTTCACTGTTGAGCCAAGCTGGTCGCCTGCCATATTTGCTACTCTTTCTGCACATTGGGATGGTTTGTTCCTTCGCCCTCAATAAGGCTTCTTTAAAATACAGCCAGCTCTCCTGGACTCCTTTCCCCCTCATGTTAGCCTCCCAGGGGACCCTGCCCATCAGTTCCCTAAGGGAGTCTAAGTCTGCTTTTCTGAAGTCCAGGGTCCGTGTTTTGCTACTTTCCTTTCTTCCTTTTGTCAGGATCCTGAACACTGTTGTTAGATGCTACCGGTGTGGTGCTTTGCTTTGTTTAATGTTGATATTAATTGGCTTCATGCATGTGTTCCCTCTGTGTGCTGCCCCAGCTCTGCACAGATCGCTGACACAGCAAACCCCGAGAGAACCCCCAATGACCAGAGACTCTAGTAAGGTATGAAGGCATCCGCCAGGTTTATTGCCTTTAGAGATACACAGTCTCCAGCTCCCCGGCAAATGAAGTCCAAGGTGCTGCTAAGGTGCGGCTAGCCAGTACATATGTGCTCCCTTGACAATGGACTCAGCTCAGTCAGTGGCGGGACTTTCCTCTGCCCCGTAGGCTGGACAAAGATATCCACTCAGGGATGCATTCTTATACACAGGTACAAACAAGTTACACTCACTCCTGACGTATTGAGGTGCAACCCCTCTACGCAGCAAGGTACGACCCCTCTACGTAGTAAGGTGCCGCCTCTCACCTTGTACATGTTGGTTTGAACAAAACAACTCTACCCATCATATTCCCCTTCTGACCCTGTCATTGGGATGGGTCGGCTTGTTCCTTGTTGTGTGTGGAATGTACAAGTATGTGAATGTTCTGATAGCTGGTGTTCGGTACCTTTTAGGTATGTCTCTTCTTGCAGCATCAGCCTTTCCCTTGCCAGCTTCTGTGAGCAGGGCCTGCCTCTGGCTCACAGCTTAACTTTGCTCTATGTTAGCAAAGTCTTGACCATTACTTTAGTTCAGGCCTCAGGCCTCATACTGGGCCTCTGATACCAAGGTTTATATCTCAGGGCCTCCTCTTACTACAAACACAACCATCTCATGGTCACTGCTGCCTAGTTTGCCACCCAGTTCTACGTCCCCTACCAATTCTTCTCTGTTTGTGAGCAGCAGGTCAAGAAGAGCTCTGCCCCTAGTTGGTTCCTCCAGCACTTGTACCAGGAAATTGTCCCCAACACTCTCCAGAAACTTCCTGGATTGTCTGTGTACTGCTGTATTGCTCTCCCAGCAGATGTCAGGGTGATTGAAGTCCCTCATGAGAACCAGGACCTGTGATCTGGAAACTTCAGTTAACTGTCCGAAGAAAGCCTCGTCTACCTCATCCTCCTGGTCTGGTGGTCTATAGCACACGCATACCACGATATTACCCTTTTTGCTCTCACCTCTAAACTTAACCCAAAGACTCAACAGGCTTTTCTCCAGTTTCATACTGGAGCTCTGAGCAATCATACTGCTCTCTTACATACAGTGCAACTCCTCCACCTTTTCTCCCCTGTCTGTCCTTCCTGAACAGTTTATATCCATCCATGACAGTACTCCAGTCATGTGAGTTATCCCACCAAGTCTCTGTTATTCCAATGACATCATAGTTCCTTGACTGTGCCAGGACTTCCAGTTCTCCCTGCTTGTTTCCCAGGCTTGATGTGCTGGTCAACTACAGTGTGCCTAGTATCAGAGGGGTACAAAGGGACGCAGCTCAGTCAGTGGTGGGACTTTCCACTGCCCCCTAGGCTGGACAAAGACACTTCCTCTGAGATACATTTTTATACACCAATACAAACAAGTTACATATTGGTCCTGATGTACCAGGGTGCCACCCTTTGACATATCCAGGGGCCGCCTGTTACCTTGCACATGTTCATTCCGTGAAAACATCCCTATCCATCATGCTGTCTTTCTTGCTTGCTTTCTTTCTTTCAACCTCATCACCCCAAAAAATGAAACAAAGGGGCTGATTTGTAGAGGTGCTGAGCACCCAAATCTCCAGCTGAAGTCAGGGGGAGCTGGGCATGCTCCACTTCTCTGAAAGTCAGGTCCAAATTAAACTCCTTGGGCATCTTCTGCTAAACAGGGAGCCCATTCTCTAGCCTGTCCTGGGCTTTTTCTGGCGCTCCCACCTTCCTGGACTGGCTCCTGGTGACCCCTGCTCCTCTCTACATGTAGTAGAGGCTGGACAGGGAGCTAATGAGACCTGGTGGCAACACCACACCGTGAGCAGTGATTCCAAAACAGAACATAAGGATCCAGACCAGCATCTCTCCCAGAAACAACACCTGATTCCTGCGCTGGCCCCCTCCAGCCCAAAGCCTGCTGTGTGCTTAGAACTCACTCAAATCTGAACCGAGGCTCCAAAGGTGACAGGCTGTCACTTTACTGCTCCTTTCCAAAATGCAAAATGTTTCCATGCCAGTTAACTAAGGCCTTACAATAGTTATAATCACAGAATGGGAAATTCCCCAAACACACCCATTGTTACTTCATTATCTTTACCATGAGATTGTCAAACTTACTTCTTCCAGGCCCAAGAGCTGCCAGCCAGTGCACTGAGAAATCCGAACTACGGATTGTTCTTGTTGGTAAAACTGGAGCTGGGAAAAGTGCAACAGGAAACACCATCTTTGGTGAGAATCTGTTTGAGTCTAAACTCACAGCACAATCAGTAACAGCAACATGTAATAAGAAGAGAAGGGATTGGAATGGCAGGGACATTGCAGTCATTGATACGCCTGGTCTTTTTGACACAAAAATTCCTTTAAAAGAAACTTTGAAAGAACTAGAGCGTCGTGTGGTAGTCTCCTCCCCAGGACCCCATGCTATAGTTCTGGTAATGCAGCTGGGTCGTTTCACTGAATAAGATAAAAAAAAACAGTTGAATGAATACATTACATTTTTGGGGGAAAAGCTGTGGAGTACATGGTCTTCTTGGTCACCAGAAAAGATGACTTAGGTGATCAGTCATTAAATGATTATCTTAAAAGTTTAAATGACAAAGATCTTCAGAAGTTGATGGCAAAGTGCGGGAATCGATGCTGCGCTTTCAACAACAAAGCAGAAGGACAGGAGCAGGAAGCCCAGATTTCAGAGCTGATTGCAATGACTGATAAGATGATTTACCAGAATGGAGGCTCACATTATACTAATGCCATGTATGAATATGCTCAGAAGAAACTTCAAGAAAAAATCAAGATGCTCAGAGAATTTTATAAGGAAGCGATGGAAAGAAAAAAAAAGTGAAGTCTCAGCATGATGAGAAATGTAAAAAAATAGATGAGGAATTAAAGAAAGGAAGCTCACATGATAAAATCACTTTGAAACAAAAGCAGGAGGCCATGAGACAAAAACTGGAAAAAGATTTAGAGAAAATAAATAGCCGCTACCAGGAACACCTACGTGAACTCAGGGAAAGAGCTGATGAGGATGTTACTATAACAGACCCTGTTTTAAAACCATTCACATATATGTTTTCAAATATGAAATGCTGGTTTGAATAATGATCGAGTTACTTTACTTTCTCCTTCTCTTGCCACTTTGCCAGTTTTTCAATAGCGATGAATGGAGTTTCAGTGCTTTGTAACACTTTAACCTCCTATTTTTTTCTGCACAGAAGTTTCCATTTGTATCAGCTTCTTAGTCAACCTTGTACTTTCACACCCTACAGCGGATGCATACAAAGCATGAGTAAATGAAGTTCTTAGCATTTGTTTTGTATGAACATTGTGTGTTGGTTCCATTAAAGATTCTGGCTACAGCTATTAGATCTCTTCTAGACTAAGAGTTGGAATAAGCTTGGGTTGATGTGTTATATTAATTGTGATATTGCTGTCAATATGGTGGTAAATGTAGAGCTTACTTCTCTTAAGGAATCATTTACAGAAATCAGAATCTGTTCATAAAAATAACTATTCGTAAGTATTCACTGATCAGTTTGGATGAACAGTTCTCAGCTCATTGGTTGTTCTCCAGCAGTTCATTCTGACTAGTCAGTATCCGTAACTTGTGACTGGCAACCCAAGTCATATGGCATTGTTTCTGTTTCTGGGTGGAAATTTTGTAAACAATATATTCTGTAGGTGTTTGTCTCTGTCTGAGGGATTGGAGCAAATGCGGTTGTATCTTAGGGCTTGGCTGTAGACAATGGATCGTGTGATGTGGTCTGGATGAAAGCTGGAGGCATGTAGGTAAGCATAGTGTTTAGTAGTTTTCTGGTCTAGGGTGGTGATTATGTGACCATCCCTTATTAGCACTGTAGTGTCTAGGAAGTGGATCTCTTGTGTGGACTGGTCCAGGCTGAGGTTGATGGTGGGGTGGAAATTGTTGAAATCCTGGTGGAATTCCTCACGGGCCTCCTTTCCATGGCTCCAGATGATGAAGATGTCATCAATGTAGCACAAGTAGAGTAGGGGCGTTAGGGGACGAGAGCTGAGGAAGCGTTGTTTTAAGTCAGCCATAAAAATGTTGGCATACTGTGGGGCCATGCAGGTACCCATAGCAGTGCCGCTGACTTGTCCAGACCACATCACACGATCCATTATCTACAGCCAAGCTATAAGATACAACCACATTTGCTCCAATCCCTCAGACAGAGACAAATACCTACAGGATCTCTATCAAGCGTTCTTAAAACTACAATACCCACCTGCTGAAGTGAAGAAACAGATTGTCAGAGTCAGAAGGGTACTGAGAAGTCACCTATTACAGGACAGGCCCAACAAAGAAAGTAACAGAACGCCACTAGCCGTCACCTACAGCCCCCAACTAAAACCTCTCCAGCGCATCATCAAGGATCTACAACCTATCCTGAAGGACGACCCCTCACTCTCACAGCCCTTGGGAGACAGGCCAGTCCTCGCTTACAGACAGCCCCCCAACCTGAAGCAAATGCTCACCAGCAACTACACACCATACAACAAAAACACTAACCCAGGGACCTATCCCTGCAACAAATCCTGTTGCCAACTCTGTCCACATATCTATTCAAGGGACACCATCATAGGACCTAACCACATCAGCCACACCATCAGGGGCTCGTTCACCTGCACATCTACCAATGTGATATATGCCATCATGGGCCAGCAATGTGAAGAAATACTTCTTCTTGTTTGTTTTTAACCTGCTGCCTATTACTTTCCTTTGTTGATCCTTAGTTCTTGTGTTATGTGAAGGAGTAAATAACACTTCCTTATTTACTTTCTCCACACCAGTCATGATTTTATAGACCTCTATCATATCCCCCCTTAGTTGTCTCTTTTCCAAGCTGAAAAGTCCCAGTCTTATTAATCTCTCCTCAAATGGAAGCTGTTCCATACCCCTAATCATTTTGTTGCCATTTTCTATACCTTTTCCAATTCCAATATATCTTTTTTTGAGATGGGGTGACCACATCTGTATCCCGTTACAATGTAGTAGCAAACATTTACATTGTGTCTACCCTTCGAAGTAAATACTCCATCAAATGAGAAAGAAGCAAGTGGTCATTGTGTGTGATGCTCAGAGATCAAAGAATCTAAACATGCTCCTCTCTCTCCACTAATCAAAGAACAAGCCCGCAGGGTGGTGACATTTTAGGTTGTTTTATGTGGGAAGAAGCTAGAAATATGGACTCAGGAAAAGATCCTTCATCTCTGGACTGTTTGGAATCAAACAGGGCAGAATAACCCAACAAGAAGATGGAGATCCCCAGAGTTATTCTGGGTAGACCTGAGAGAAAAAGGCATGTCACTACATCTCTGCTACCATTTGGAATTGTAGACTGTGACTCCCCTGTGCATATGTTTTAGCTACTTTAACCTCTCAATAACTCTAATTCCTTTTGTGAGCTAATTAGCTTTTAGTTAGTTTACTATAGAATTGGCTACCAGCGTTGTCTTTGATGTGAGATCTAGGATGCAACTCAACCTGGGTGAGTGACTGATCTCTTGGGGCTGGAATTAACCATCCACAGGAGCCTTCCTGGCCCTGTCTGGCTCTGTCGGGGCTACAGGATTTCCCCAGAGTTCCCCTCTGCAGCGTATTGAAGGGATATAGTGTACTTAGATTTTCAAAAGGTCTTTGACAAGGTCCCTCACCAAAGGCTCTTAAGCAAAGTAAGCTGTCATAGGATAAGAGGGAAAGTTCTCTCATGGATTGGTAACTGGTTAAAAGATAGGAAACAAAGGGTAGGAATAAAAGGTCAGTTTTCAGAATGGAGAGAAGTAAATAGTGGTGTCCCCCGGGGATCTGTTCTGGGACCAGTCCTATTCAACATATTCATAAATGATGTGCAAAAGGGGTAAACAGTGAGGTGGCAAAATTGCAGATGACACAGAACTACTCAAGATACTTACGTCCAAAGAAGACTGTGAAGAGCTACAAAGGGATCTCACAAAACTGGGTGACAGGACAACAAAATGGCAGATGAAATTTAATGTTGATAAATGCAAAGTAATGCACATTGGAAAGCATAATCCCAACTATACATATAAAATGATGGGGTCTAACTTAGCTGTTACCACTCAAGAAAGAGATCTTGGAGTCATTGTGGATAGTTCCTTGAAAACATTCACTCAATGTGCAGCGTCAGTCAAAAAAGTGAACAGAATGTTGGGAATAATTAAGAAAGGGATAGATAATAGGACAGAAAATATCATCTTGCCTTTATATAAATCCTTTGTACACCCACATCTTGAATACTGTATGCAGATGTGGTCGCCCCATCTCAAAAAAGATATATTGGAATTGGAAAAGGTTCAGGAAACGGCAACAAAAATAATTAGGGGTATGGAACGGCTTCCGTATGAGGAGAGATTAATAAGACTGGGACTTTTCAGCTTGGAAGTGAGACAGCTAAGGGGAGATATGATTGAGGTGTATAAAATCATGGCAGGTGTAGACAAAGTAGATAAGGAAGTGTTGTTTACTACTTCTCGTAACACAAGAACTAGGGGTCATCCAATGAAATTAATAGGCAACAGGTTTAAAACAAATAAAAGGAAGTATTTCTTCATACAATGCACAGTCAACCTGTGGAACTCCTTGCCAGAGGATGTTGTGAAGGCCAAGACTATAACAGGGTTCAAAAAAGAACTAGATAAGTTCATGGAGGATAGGTCCATCAATGGCTATTAGCTAGAATGGGCAGGGATGGTGTCCCTAGCCTCTGTTTGCCAGAAGCTGGGAATGGGCAACAGGGGATGGATCACTTGATGATGACCTGTTCTGTTCATTCCCTCTGGGGCACCTGGCATTGGCCACTGTCAGAGGACAGGATACTGGGCTAGATGGACCTTTGGTCTGACCCCGTATGGCCGTTTTTATGTTCTTATGGATGAGTAATAATCCCGTCATATGATGAAACTCCACATCATCTCTCCAAAGGTGATTTCGAAAGGGGTGTCTTCGTTGATTATGTTCCAGCTGTGCGGGTATTGTATTGCCACTAATCCCAACTCCCAGGCACTCGGGAGAGCCAAGGGCTTAATTAGCTGTATTGTAAAGTTCGAGCTGCTTTGATTTCATTATTAGTAACAAAATGGTGAGTGCCATGCTGTTTTAACAATCTGCTTAAAGGTTTTTTTAATTATTTCCCCCAATCGGTTTGCAATTTTTGAGGCATGCGACCTTTGCTGAAAATAGCTTTAAAGGCCTTGGATACCTCACCTCTCATCTTGTCATTTAGGCCTAAGGCCCAGATATATTTGGATAGAATGTCTATCACTGTTAAGATGTACTTAAAACCGCTGTTGTGTTTGGAGAACCGGTGCATATCCACCAAATCTGCCAATTCGCAGACCCTCTACGTATAAGTTATCCTCTCCCATGCTTCCCATGGTGATGCCACCAACCCAGGCTGCTCCCAACCTCCCGTTTCCACTCCTGCACCGCACCTTATTTTATACTCCGCAGGCCTGTTTCTCCACTATATAAAGTGAATGTAAAATGTAGAATTGTCCGCTCCCTCACACCAGAGATCACATTTATCACTCACCTTGCACAGGTACAAATGACTACACAGGGTGCAAGGCAGAGAAGAATGAGCATGTGCTATAAACACAGCATGGTTCAGCTGTGGAACCGGAGTAGATTGAAGAGCCTCCAACAACTCCCTGGGAAGGAGAAAGGGTGGGAAGTATCAAATTAAGGAACCAGATCACACCAGCCCAGCCTCACCTATGCTTTTGGTCTTACTCAAATATGAACATGAACCTCAAAGATCAGCCTCTAAATTCTGCTGCAGATTATTTTTCCTTTGAATTAATTATCAATTATAATCATTGAAACAAAATTCTCAAACCCACCTATTTCTTTCTCTATAGCTTTCAAACATCTCTTTGTTCCCACAGTGTCAGGTGATGACAGCCAACAGACCAGAAGAGAAGAACTGAGAATTGTGCTTGTTGGTAAAACTGGATCTGGGAAAAGTGTAACAGCAAACACCATCCTTGGTAGAGAAATGTTTGTCTCCAGATTCTCATTCAAATCTACAACCAAGAAATGTGAGACTGGGAGAGCGAGACTGGATGAGAAGAGGGATATTCTAGTTGTTGATACTCCAGGTATTTTCGATACTAATGTTTCTCTTGACATTGAGATTGGTCGCTGCATGTTGTATTCGTCTCCTGGGCCTCATGCTATAGTTCAGGTGATACAATGGGGCCGTTTCACTGACGAGGAAAGAAAAACAGTAGAACGAATTCAAGGAATTTTTGGAGACGAGGCCATTAAATACATCATATTCTTATTCACCCACGCAGAAAAATTAGAAAATCTCGAGCTGCTTGATCAGTTACAAGAGCTAGGGGATGAGAACATTCCTGAGCTGCTGAGAAAATGTCAGAACCGAGTCTGTGCTTTCGATAACAAAGCTCCTAAGGAGGAACGGGGAGCTCAGGTTACTGAGCTCATTAAAATGATTGATACGATGGTGAGTGAAAATGGAGGCTCATATTACACTAATGAGATGTATAAAAGGGCCGAGGAAAAAATCAAAGCAAAGACAAAGGAACTAGAGAAAAAATACAGAGAAGAGGAGGAAGAAAAGAAAAAAGAAATGGAAAGTAAAATACAGGAACAGATAAAGATAAGAGAAGAGAAATTCATGAAAGAAAGAGAACAGGAACAAAAGGAAGCTTTACGTAAAGAGATGGAACCCGTGGAACAAGAATTAAAGAAAATACGTGAAGCAATTGACAGGAATACAGGGCTAAATAAGAAGGTGCCAGGGATGAAGCCAAAAACGACAGCTCTATATTACAATGGATGGCTGAAGACATAGCTATATTGATTGGCAAAGTGGCAGTGTGGCTTAGTAGTTTGTTTTAAAAGTGAATTGTGGGGTTGTAGATATTTTTTTCTTTCTCACTTTGTGAGCAAATTTGTTTATTCAAATACTAAGGTGATTTCTCTAATTGTTAATTCTGCAACCTCAGCCTGGGAATCTGATAATCAAGCTGTGTTATTTGTGCCTTGTACGTTATTGTGTAGTCTATAGGTGTAGGTATTTGCTAGGTAAGGCACAGGTATAAGTTAAGGCAGTAACGCAATAAACCTACAAGGGTCAAGGCTTGTAAGACAATAGCTTAGCTAAACAAGGCATAAGACTCAAAGAAAGACTAGACATAAGCAACTAACCAGTAAGTGATTCTAGATCAAATATACCATAAGCTAGAATGTTATATGAAGTAAGTATGTTAAAATTGCTGATATTTAGAAAATGTATGCCATAAAGTACTAGTTAAAGCTGGTTAGAGTATTTGGGGGATTTTTGCAGACATGGGGTGTCAGCAGTGTGCTAACCACTAGTTGTCATGGTGAGTGAGTGACTAACATAGATGTTGTTAATAAGACTAATGAGTTAACCTATGAAAAACAGGGCACCCCAATATTAGAAGGGTGAGGAAATACAGATAAGGAAAAGGGGATGAAACCCCACTGAATATGCATTAGGCATAGTGGCATCAGCATAATACATCATAAAATCTGTATCCCAGTGTACATGCCTTGGGAGATGCCAGGATGACAACCACTGGTGATGGTGGTGATGGTGAGGGTGAAGAGAAGGATGATAACTCATACTTCAGGTTGTTCTGCAAGGGATGGGGTGAGTATGTGGATGCTCAGATGTTCATTCTGTATTCTCTCCATCTACCTGGCTGGGATGGAGTGTTTGTAACTTTGCCAACTATGTTAATAAAACTATTACAAATACAGAAGGGTTTTCCTAAGTGTGTGTGTGTTGCCCATCGGGTTTCCCAACTAAACAATCATTTGAATAATACTGGGCCTGATCTTGGGACCAGAACCTACCAAAACCCCAGAGTGTTAATTGGGAATTCTTACATAATCAATATAATTAACATACCATCAATAGACCAGGCAACAATTGCCACCGACACAGATTGGTCATTCAGAATGTTGTTGGTGATTTGTTGATGATGGATGAGGCTGCACAGAATCCATCTTGCTCTTCCATTGGCAAGGCAATGCTAACAGTAGTCAAACAAACTTATTAGTAAAACAAACTTATACACAATCATTTTCTGACCAGCCTAAATCTATATGTGAAGTTGAGTCTCTCACACCTATATTAGTGAAGCATATTAATACAAAACATGAGTAATGAACCCATTTTAATGTCTTTATTAACATCATAGATTAGATTCCACAAAAGATTATGGATTGAACTCATACTTTGTAGCTGTGTATTAAGAATTGTATTACAGTTTGCCACCCATATCCTACCTCATTTATCACTAACATAGTTTCATGTGAGGGACTTCACACAAAGTAAATTGTATTGTTTTATAGAGTGTGCAGGTAGTGACAACTACACACCCTGTTTTCATGTTGCTTATAACTTGCCAAACATTAACTGTTTGGGCTGAAATTTCCTATTCATTGTGTCTGCTTCAGGCTGAATTTTTTCTCTTTTTTTAAGATTCAGCTAACAATGTCCATCCATTTCCAAGAATGAGCTGAGGGGATAATATGTTGGTTTTTACCCACATTAGCAAATTGTCTGTAAGATTTTTTTTTTTAGAATTTCTAGAGCCTGTGTGCTTTTGAGCAGAGACTTGCAATCTGGCATGGGTTTGCCCTGGTGTCAGATGTGCCTTTTGCTGTACTGATGAAAAAAACACCCAACTTTGGGCAAAGTAGAAGCCTTAGAAAAGTCTCAGTTCTCACGTGCTCAATACAGACTTGTTAGAATTTGGCAGCTACACAGGGGGTTGGATAAAGTAGAAGAGGAGGGTCCTGGTGGGTTTATAGGCATGGATATGGAGGAGGATGGGAGCAGAGGGGGAGGAGTCAGTGATGTGCGGACAGAATAGGTGGCTATGAGCACTGGATAAGCACACAAGGGAAGGAGGCTAGGAGCTGGGGATAGGGAGAGAAAGGAAGGTGGAGTGGGGCAGGAGTCAGGGTAATGGGGAACAGTCTTGCAGGATTAAGATGAGCAGAAGGGTTAACAACCACTAATGCACACTCCCCTCCTGGAACCTGGAGCTGAACCCAGAATCCTGAGCCTCTACAATCCTCACTCAGCAAATAGCTGTAAAACCCCCTGACTGTGTATCCTATCATGCACTAGTGCATGATCCACATACAGAAGAGGGTCCAGAGCCTTACTGAACTGATCCTCACAGAAATCAGTGGATGTTTGGCTCAGATCCTCAAAGGTATTTAGGTTCTCAACAGCCTACTACTGCTACCAGTTATTCCACTAGAGTGAGAGGGGTCTGTGTGGTGGATCTAAGGTTCAGACCCTGCTGATGACCCAAGTCAGGGTCAATGTGCTTCCATAGTATGGAATTTATATTGTTTGTTTTTAAAAAAGAAATTACAACCCCAAAACTCTGTGAAAAGAATGTTAAGTTTGCAAAGTCAAGCACTGAAACGTTAGGAAATATCAGACTTAAGGTTGTCTGTGCAACCTTAATTCATCCCTGTGATTGAGTGTATGGATCCTACAAGAAAATGGACACTAAAGGGTTTAAAAAGGCTCAACCCAAAGCTCTTGGTAACTTTACTCTGTGCAAGGTAGTGCCATGAAATAAATCAACAGAGACATGGGTGTCCAAACGATTGATGGCTGTCACAAACAGGACAACACAGGAGTGCTCTCAGTTAAAGCTATACTTTACTTAGTCTCAAGCACTTACAAACATCCGCAACGGGTTAATAAAACACCTCCTACCCTCACTAATTACTGAAGTTTGGTGTGGCTCTCGAGAGGTACAGTGACAGCCTTCCGATTGACTCATCTTTCAGCTGCCGGTGGGGACCGTGAACTGTGTCTAAAGAAATCCAACTAATCCAAACCTCTCCCACCTTATTTATCTGCCCTAGTAGACAATCGTACATCAATCAAACAAGTGACGGGACTCCAGCTTCAGCTTTATTTCTGAAACTTTCACTAATATTATTTCACTAAACTTTCACTCATATTGCTACACACTTAAATTCAAAGAAATGGCGCCAAAATACAAGTTCATCCACAATGCCATTTTCCCAAAGGCAGGTCCTGATCCCTTCCCCTATGGGCAGGCTCACAACAGCCAGAACAGGGCGGCTGCTGGAGAGTTCGAGAGTCAAAGCATCAAGGGGCTCCACAGGGTCAGACCAGAGGAAAGCTGTCTGGAGAAACCAGTTCTCTGCCACAAGGGATCAGAGAAGATTCGCCAGCCCGAGGTACCTGCCAAGTCTGAGGTAGGAAGCCACCCAGGGAACAGTAGGGGACTTAAATGAGTAAGTTCCTGGCTGCAGAACCCAGGGTCCCTGGGCTGGGCCCCAGACGAGGGGTTGGGCCTGGGTCCTCCTACTACCTGGGACCCTAAAAACCCTGGTTTACTGTCATGTGACACCAACTCCTTTCAGGCCTGACAAACTCACTACACCTAAAACATTGCTGTTGTAGTATTTATCTGTGAAGAATATAATGTGGGGTGTCAAATGAAAGCTTATATCATACAGGTCATCATAAGTGTAACCCTTCTGCCCATCTAAGTTGGCAGCAACAAGGGCCGGGTTCTGTATCTAGGGGTTCCGTTTCAATAACGCAATGCAAAACCGGCTCGAGCCCCCACCCAGTGACCTGGGACAATTACATACCACCCCCTGGGCGCCTCTAAGAGGCAATACTTCCCCTCTCGCAAGCACGGAGTCTGAGTGTAGCAGAAAATGTTTAATAACATGAGGCAAACGACATCAGCATAAAATTGGAAAAACACCACAAACAGGATTCATAACACAAACCAGTAGCAAAAAACCCACCCCAGCAAATTGGGCTGTATCCTTTCCCTTTGGTTCTTGAATCCAGCAACCCAAAAATCACCCAGAGTCCCCAAAGTCCAAGACCCTCAAAGTCTCTTGGGTCCAGCAACCCCCCAAAGTCTCTGTCCCTGGTCAGTGCAGCCCCAGAGTAAAAGGGGGGGCACGCAGAGTGTTAAGGGGCACCTTACATGATCCGAGGCCGGCCGGCCGGCCATCTCTCCGTGGGGTTCCACCACAGCCTTCACCACGAGCCAGTCCACTTTCTGCCATCCCATGAACTGCTCTGCTCTGCTCACCGACCCGTGAGCCACTCCAGCCATCCCCGCAAACAGCTCCACTCGCCGTTCCTTGGGCCACTCCAACCAGCCCCGCAAGGCTTCACGCCACTCGCTGCTCCTCCAGTCATCCCCACAAATTGCTCTGCCAGCTACTTAGCAAAATAGCTTCAGGCTCCCCCACTAGTTAACACAGCACTCAGTGATCTCAGCTCTTAATAACTTAGGCTCTTTTGTGATTTCAGCTCTTAGCAATTTCAGCTCATAGTAGGGGAGCCCCAGTGCTAGTGCACCATTGGCCCAAAGTGAATTCAGTTCAGCAGCATGTAACTAGACTCCTAAGGGAATCAAAGTTAGCTCTAACATTTAATAGTGGAGACAGGAGATAATGCAATTGGTGTTTCAAACCCTCAGAAAGAACCCATACCATCACATACAAATACCAGAACCAAGCCACCCTTTCTCTATTCACTAGGAATTGTAACCCATGCCCCTTGTCAAGCAAGTGCTACTTAGGTAATGGTGGAGGACTCACTCAGTCCTTCTGTCATACAACAGTTCCACTGGCCTTGATTCACAGAATCCGGGTAACAAAACTTTATTCTTCCTGCCCCAATAACAGAGAAACTGGGGATCCCACACCAGCCAAAGTACCCAGTTTCAGTTGCTGTTGTTTCATGCCAGGCGGGTGGGTGTGCCTATGCAAACCAGATCAGCCCCTGGAGTTCTTTTCCACACTCGCCATAATTCACCACCAGATGTCAGTGTAGAGCTCATCCTGACTCTGTTTACATAAGCATTGTGAGATGTATGTACAGGCATTATTCAAGAAGTTGTATGTATGTACAAAAAAATTTTTAAACCGTGTAACCAGGCAGGGTAAATAAACAAGTTTTTCCCAGGCAAAGGAATGTTGATTTCCCCGCCTGCCAAGGTCTTTGATGTCAGTCAAGCATTGTGTAAGTCAACACAGAGCAAGCTTCATTTGCATATTAAGTCAATACAAAAATCAAGTTAACAGGAGAATGAGAAAGCCCATATGGCGTCAGTGGATGGAAGAACAAACAGCAGGGAGAAGAACTTCAGAGGGACACATTTCAAAGTTTGCTGCACTATAAGAAGGGGGAAGGGAACCTCTTGGTGGCCCATCACTGAAGTGCGAAAAGGACAGCACTGTTTGTATCCATGGAAGCTGGATCCTGCCCCAGGGGGCTGGAGAAGCTGGGAGATGACTTTAGGTGAGAAATGTAAATTAGATCAAGATTTTAACCCGCTAAAGCTTTGTTTAGTCTCCTAGAAGCATGTTATACTTTTATTTGTAACCATAACTGTTTCTACTGCCCCTACTCAGTACCCCTTGAATTTCTCTGTTAATAAACGCCTCTTTGTTTTATCATCAGTGTGAATTCTTCGTGGAACCAAGTAAGCTGGTGTGCCCACAGCAAACATGGTACTTACTGTCAGTGTGCAGTGATGGGGCTGGATACTAGGTTTGCGCCACAACATGGGAACATTCTTCAAGGGGGCTTAGGGTCTGGGGTGCACCATGTGTTACTTACAAGTAAAGTGAAGCAACACAAAGCAAACTAAAGGCCTGGGATGTTTGCCTGGGATGGTGACCAGACTGGGGTGACAGGGAGCTGTCACCCAGCTTAGCTCCAGC